GAACGGGTCGGGAAGTAGACATAGTCCTATGTACCGAACAAATAGACATAAAAAGTTTGTTACCTTTTTCTTTGATACTTTGGACTTTGTGAGTTTTCATTTTATTTTCTTTTATACATAATTGTGTGTTATCACCCCCGTTGAACTCAGCTTGCATTACGGCCCCAACCCCTGTTTGATCTCGTCTGTCTAAGATCAATTCACAACGTGGGTAGGCAGACTGGAGATCAGTGCAGTTACCCTGGTAACCAGGCGTTGGAAACAGGTTGTGAACGGCGAGGCTGGTATCAATCTAACCAGATTCCTACCCGGATCATAAAAGGGTTAGAACGTCACGTTTGGAGCAGCGAGGAGCGAACAGCTGACGCCGCGGCGAAGACGTCACAATTGATGCTGTTGGGGACGTCACAACTGGCGCCGTGGTAGATCAGGATAGAACGACACAGTCGACGCTGCGACCGGAGGACGACGTCACAATCGACGCCGTGACCAGGACATCAGAGCCTGGGGCAGCCACGTGACGTCACATCTATTGTAAATGTTATGGGGCCCTCCCCTTTTTCATATAAGTGGACTCGACCAAAGTGTTACTTGGACTGCTGCCATTAAATACCCAGAGTCAGTCAGAGTAGTCAGAGTGAGTAGAGAGAGTAAGAAGACTGAGATTGTGATTGAGTTGGAGGTAGAGTAATAGTGTGAGGTAAACCGCTTGTAGAAGTCAGTTACAAACACGTAGACTCTAAGGAAGTCTTACTTCGAGACTGTATATATCTATATGTTATTGCTACTAACCGCGTTCCTGGATTTACTAACAGTATTGCCCTTTGTATTATTGTGTAAATACATTTAATTTCTTATATTTAATTCCTGCGTTTGTCATTCATTGGAGACCGAATTTGATCTCGGAATCCACAACAGTAAAAAATCTTGTCGTCATTAAATAACCCATTGAAATTGATAAAATCTTATAATATAAAAAAAGTATGTATGAGCTGTTTGAGAAAGTAAAAGTGGATGATATATCATTTCTCAAAACTGCAGGACTTTACCAAAAATTATGAACCAAATGAGAATGTCAAAATCAATCTGGAAAGAATGAAAACAGACTCTCGACAACAACCCTCTTTACAAATGAATATCAGTGAAACCAGATCTACAAAATGTTTCCTTCAAAGAATATCTCTATCTATAAAAGGCACGATATGTGTGTGTGTGTGTGTCTGTCTGTCTGTGTGTGTGTGTGTGTGTAACGAATGCACGCCCGCAATTTTGGACGGATTTGCACCAAAATTTACATGCACATGCTCCAAGTTGGCGGAAAGGCCAAGACTGCCATTGCATTTCCCAACTCCAATCGATAATGGAAATAATCGATTTTTCCTGCTTCTACGGCAGTTTTCATGTAGTTTGCGGCCATTTTCTACTGGCCAGACTGAGAGCCTATAGCTGGCTGCCACGAATAGGCAGCAAGATTCTATTGACCAGCGTGAGAGCCAACAGCTGACTGACACGAATGTTAACTAGCATGCTAGCATGCAAAAAAAAATCGATCGCTGCATTCGGGAAAAATTTAAATCTGCATGGCACTTTACTCCAATTGGCTCATTCGCTTGCTTAAACTCAACGTTGATTCTGATTCCGCAGAACTGGGTTGGGTGAGAAAAAGTATTTGTTGTTAACATTCTATTTACATTCGGTTTTTTCCAGTTACGAGTCCTTTTTTAAAGCTGATCGTTTTGTGTTCATTTTGTTTAGTTCTTTTTTTGTAACAGATTTAATGTTTAGTATAGAGCTTCGAAAAAATTCGCAGTGTGAGATAGGCAAGAAGTAAGGCATGTAGCAACATCAGCACGGCAAAGGGCACTCCTTTAAAGGCAAGGAAGGGCAAAAATATTTTAAGTCAAGTGATAGCGATTGCTGTATGAGTCGTACGATTTTTAAATCAAGCACGGGCAACGCCGGGCCATGCTGCTAGTATATTCTATTCATACGAATCTATTGTAAAAATCCTGTCGGTATTAAATAACCCATTGAGATTGATAATATAAACCAAACCGTCCTAACCTTTTATCTGAAATAGTGTGGATTGTCAACATCGTATTTTCTGGCTTGCGGCATGGAAGACGCACCCTAATATTGGAAAAAAATTTCTAAGGAAAACAAAGTCATTCTCATACAACAACACATTCACCATGCGTCCCTCGCATACTGGCCCCACGTATTGTTTGCATTTGTCACTCGTCCGATTTTGTTTATATGGCAATGACATACTTGTGAAGAAAGCTTGTGGCTAAGCTCCAGGAAGGGTTATAGACTTCGAAATACTTGTAACAGTTAAGTAGTGAGGTTACATAAGATAAAAGGCTGAATTAGATAGATAGTTAATATTATAGTGGAATGACTCAACATAAAATTCCACGTCCCTATCACTCAAGCCAATTAGGTGTACGTCCAAGCTTACTTGAGCCCTGGGTGTTGACTTACATTCGTCTTGGAAGACGCACAGGTAGTTTTCAGGGTATTTTTTTAGAAAAAAATGTGTCTTTGTAAGCCGGAATATATATATATATATATATATATATATATATATATATATATATATACTGAGACATACAAGCAGACAGACAGACAAACAAAGAAACAATTATACATAATATATTGCGTATTTGGGTAACAATCCTTCCTTTATACATGTTTCGTTAAAAATCACTGGCAGGGTACTGCGGTTAAGCTTTTTATTTCATTTTTGTTGTGTTCGTACAAGTGTTTTCTTTTCTGAACACAAAGTTTATAAAAACTGTCCAAAAGTTTTGCATATACGAGCGCTTTCGGCTATTCTTTTAGCCATTATCAAGGGTAATTTTTATTTTTAACTAAATATATGGGTTTATTTATTTATTTTTTTTTTTACATAAAACAAAAACTTCAGATTGTTTTCGTTTAGTAGCAACTTGCGGTGTGTGGCGAAACTACAACTAACGCAGCCTATTCTATGTTCAATATGCCAAACAGTCAGGGGTGAAGACTACTCGGGGCTTTCCCTAGATATAAACTGGTCCCAAATTGGGGAAAACGGTGTATGATAATTTATTAGAGAAAGTTGCTTAGTCTCATTCATCTGCTGACCACTTCTGATAGCATAGACATAATTTCTACCTCTTATTGTTGCTACTAAGCTACGAAGACACAAAGTGTTACAGAGTGAGAAAGAATAAGAAAATATAGAATGTTATTAAAGGGCGAAAAAAATAAAAGAAGAGGAATCAAGAAGACAGCAGATAACGATTGGCGTTTGAATTTTTTATGATCAAAGTTAACTGGAAAACAAGGAGCTAGAAGAGAGTTCCACAATGGAGAAGTGCGATAGAAGAAACTCTTAGCATAGAACTTGCGTTTGAATATAGCCATTTCAACTGTAAATTTCACCGTCAATCTAGTACTACGCTTAAATTTATAAAGTCTAGGCAGAAGACACGTAAAGAAGACAGAAGATAACGATTGACATTGCATTTACATTTTCGAAGTTCAAAGTTGAATGGCAAGCAAGGATCCGGAAGAGACTTCCACAAGTAAGAAGTGTGATAGAAGAAACTGTTAGCATAGAACTTGCATTTACATCTAGGCATTTCAGCTGTAGAATATTGAGACCTTGCTGCCAATCTAGTACTGCGCTCATGATAATCTCAACAGAACAATTACCATTAAAATATTTATAGAAAATGTCCAGAGAACCTACCTTACGGTGGTGGGGAAGTGATTGAAACCGAGATGCCAGGTCAGGGACAATAGAATTGCAGATTCCTGACAAGAGGGAAGAATCTGCTAGCATAGAACTTGCGATTGCATCTAGCTTATTCAACCGTAAATTGGTAAGCACTTGTTGCCAATCTAGTACCGCGCTTAAAGGTAGAGCGAAGTAACATTACGGCGGGGTAGTGAGACTGAATCCGAGATGCCAGGTCAGGACGAATAATATTGCGGATTCTTCTTTGGATTTTTATCAAGAATTTGTAAATATATCGCTGGGACATCAGACCATATAACTTATTCAAGCTCATTTAAATATAAATAAATGAAATAAAACTGAATATATAATGAAGGCATATATAATGCCCAGTTACATAAATGTCCGGAGAGACAAGGGAAACGCTGGATAGCTTAACATATAAACAGATTGTTAATTCAGAATTCTGGTGTAGCATCACCTCAACTCAGTGAACCTATTCGTTTTGGGTTTTTTGGGGTTTTTTTTTTAAATACCTATTCATTTTATTAATTTCGTTTTCCGATTCGCCTCGGTCTGAAATTTCACCTTTTTTTAATAACCGCTACGTCCTCCGAGAAGTTAAAAAGCGTTTCTGTTAATATGACTGAGCGGACTTGCCGGAAAGTTAAAAAAAGATACAGAGCCGAAGAAACACGAAACGAACTATTAGAAAAAATTAGTATATTAAAAAAAAAAGCATATATATATATATATATGTTTTTTATAACAGAATTTTTTTTCCGACCAATACTTGCCTATAGTTCTTGCTTTGAAAATTAGTAATTTGTTCACGTTTACCGTCGGCCGTTTGTCAAAAGTGATATCGCATATGTGTTAGGTGAGAAAATTAAAGAGAAACTCCCACCTAAAGGAAGGAGTTACTGGTAAATGGAATACCAGGTGATAAGAAAAGATGGTATGACCGAAAGAAGACGATGATGAGTGATGACATTGATGAAGGCGGCAAAGTTTAGTGAAAACTATATCACAAAGACGAACATTTTCACCAAGAACAAAAAAAACCCCAAAAAACACTATTCTTCCTACGGTTAGGATTCGTTAATGAAGTGAAAGAATAAGTAGAAAAAATATAAACGGATAGGAAGGAAGAAAGAAAGAAAGGACTAAAGGAAGAGTGGGAATCTGTGTGTGAGAGAGAGAGAGAGAGAGAGAGAGGGAGAGGGAAGGGCTAAGACGTTAAGGAAGAGAAAGGAATAATAATAAAGAGTGGGGATTAGATAGAGAGAGAAACAGGAAAAGAAATAATAGGGAGCAGGAGGAGTTTAAAAGACAGTGAGAGAAAAGAATGGAGAAAATGAATAATGAGAAGGGGAGAAGGAATACCGACAACGAGGTTGAGAAAGAGAGACAAGAAATAACGAGAAGGAGGCGGAGTAAAACGATAGAAAGGTGAAGAAAGGGAGAAAATGAATAACGATGAGAAGTAGTAGGAGGAGTAATAACGATAGCGAGAAACACAGAAATGGAATAAGGGGAAGGGGGAGGAGGAGGCAGAGGAATAACGATAGTAAGTTAAAGAAAGGGAGAAAAGAAATATTGAGGAGGAGGAAGAGGAGCAGAAGGAATAATGATAGAGATGTGAAGACAGAGAGCATATTGAGGAGGAGGAAGTGGAACAGAAGGAATAATGATAGAGAGGGGAAGAAAGAGAGATAAGAAATACAGAGGAGGAGGAGAGGGATAATGAAAGGAAGGAGAAAAAAGGAATATTAAGGAAAAAGAAGAGGAAGGGAGGAATAACGATAGAAATCTGAAGAAAGGGAGAAAAGAAATAATGAGGAGGAGGAAGAGGAGATGGGGGAATAACGATGCTGAGTTGAAGAAAGGGAGAAAAGAAATAACGAGGAGGAGGAGGAAGAGGAGCAGAAAGAGTAATGATAGAGAAGGGAAGAAAGGGAGAAAAGGAATAATGAGGAGGAGGAAGAGGATGTGAATAACGATAGGTGAGGAAAGACTGAAGAGGAGGGGAATAACGATAGAGATGTGAAGAAAGGAAGAAAAGGAATGAGGAGGAGGAGGGGGAGCAAGAGGAGCAAAAGGTATAATGATTGAGGGGAAGAAAGGGGGAAATGGAATAATGAGGAGAAGGAAGAGGCGAGGGAGGAGTAACAATAAAGAGGTGAAGAAAGGGGAAAATGGAATAATGAAGAGGGGGGAGAAGGGATAACGAACGTGAGGAAGTGAGCAAAGGAATAATGAGGAGTTGGAGTAGAAGGAGGAGGGGGAATATTGATAGAGGGGGGGGGGAAGAAGAAGAAGAAGGAGGAGGTGAAGGAGGAGGATTAGAGGGGGAGGCGCGACAACAAAAGACGTAAACAGTAAATTTATATGAATTGCAGTAATAAGAAAGACGCCGATCGAGAAAGAAGCGAGAAAAAAATGATATGAAAAGAAAGAACTGATGATTTAACGCAATTTTGACGTTAGACATCAATTATTCTTAAATTTAGCAAAGAAATTTGGTTATATTCTTCTTCTCCTTACCGGAAACAGCGAAAGAATTTCATTTAAAAGTTAAATTAAAAGCTGTTGCTTGCGTCATCTTTGCGTCAAATGACGAGAGATCAAAATGGAATAATATCCCTCGATTTCGCATTTCTGCAAGGAGCTTTTTGAAGTTTATTTAAATTTAATCAAAGAATTGTCATTCGGCTTTCGGTACGTGTTTCTCTGGAAAATGAAACACAAACCGCCGACTTACGTTGTTTTGTTTGTTTGTTGATTTTTTTTTTTGTTTTTTTTGTTTTCTGAGACACATTATCCTTCAGTTTGTATTTCTCTTTCTTTCTTTCTTTCTTTCTTTCTTTCTTTCTTTCTTTCTCTCTCTCTCTCTCTCTTTCTGTTTCTCTCTCTCTCTCTTTCTTTCACTCTAGAGAATTGAAGCCGGTCGTCGTGGCCAAAAGATGATTTGATGCAATTTAATATACGCTCCATGCAAAATTGACCTTTCTTGAAAATTTCTAAAAAAAATATTACTTCAGTCATTGAAAATTATCTTAATTTGCAAAAAAATAAATAAAGCCATCATATAAACACTTCTATAATTTCAACAGAAAAATTCAAAAATAACAGATTTCTTGAAGAACAAATTTATTTTTCGATGAAAGTCGTCAGATTTTTATTACTAATTTGCATTTTCACAATTATTATTTTATTGCTAGTTTTACTCCATCTTATTATTGTTGCATTTTCACTATTATTATTTTGTGACTAGTTTTACTCGATCATCTTATTTCAGTTGTTGTTGCTTTTGAAAGTCTTCAAGAAATGTTTCTGTTATTTGGTAAAGTTCCTGGAGACTCTGTAGCTCCAGTCAACAAGAGGCGATGAAGAATGGCTTTCTCTAAAACCTGCAAGATTAATTCGGTCAAAACCATTTTTAATCTTTGATCTGAGAAAACTGTTGTATACAACTGACAGTTTAAACATGTTTGAGCATGTTAGACGCCATGCATACCACGCGTATGTAAGTCTTGTTCTGACGAGGCTATTTAAGAACATGACGAGTTTCTTGTTTAATGCTCTGCTTTCGTAGCAACTTATTCAACCTGAACAGCTAGGCAATTCTAGGAGGGCTTGATGAGATGTCCTACTATCAGTCATTACTTGCGGTCACAATCTGAACTAAATGAGATATGCAGACTATATAGAGTTGATAGCAGACACATAAGGAAAGTTCCTCATCATCTTGTCAAATAGCTGAATTCTTGATGCTTCGCTAGGGCTATCAAGGGTGTTTTTTTTATCGTGACACCATCACTAAGTGGATTGCCAACCAAGGCTCAGAGAGACTCCATTCACCCTCATCTAAGAAAGGCTATCCCGCGCCAGATTCCAACCTTGTGTTTAAATGCCTCGCGGTAAAGTTATGGCATCACCTACACATGATAGTGAAGAAAAGTGAGAAGAAATGAATGAAAATAAGCGGAAAACAGGATGTATGTTTGTTAGTAAAAGGATGAGTGCCAAGTGCGAATTGCAAATTGAAGACACCAAAATCAAATAAGTGCGGGCGATTAAATATCTGAGAAGTGTTTTAACACACGACGGATAGTGTGTCACTGAAATCCGAAGGTGTATTGGGATTGCCAAGGAAGCATTCCAAAATCTAAAAAGATTACTAAGAAATAGAAAACTTCGCTAGAAACAAAGAAAAGACCTCTAAACTGTTGTGATATATATTCTTAAATCGCGTTTTAGTGATGTTACTTATTAAAATGTATGGTCGATAGCAAGGGAGACAGCCCAACATGTGAATTACAAATTGGAGATGCCAAAATCAATCAAATACAAAAATTTAAATATCTTGGAAGTGTTCTACTAGAGGACGGAAAGTGCGACAACGAAATCCGAAGGTGCATTGGGATGGCGAAAGGTGCCTTCAAAAAGCTGAGCAAGGTATTAAGACACAGAAAAAATTCGTTAGCCACAAAGAAAAGAATACTGAATTGTTACATAATATCAGTTCCTCCACATGGCTGTGAATACTGGACAGTCTCCGCACAATTGAAGAAGAGACTTAAAGCAACATGTGGCTCTACAGAAGGATACTGAGAATACTATGGAAAGAAAAGCTTCGAGATTTAAGTTAAGAAATAAAACTCTGAGAAACATCGATCATAAGAAACGAAGGGAATATGAATAACGATGAAGGAGGGGGAGACGTCGAAAGCAAATAGGAAGGAAATACGAATGACGATTAAGGAGGGGGGAGACGTCGAAATCAAAAAGGAAGGAAATACGAATGACGATGAAGGAGAGGGAGACGTCGAAATCAAAAAAGGAAGGAAATACGAATGACGATTAAGGAGGGGGGAGACGTCGAAATCAAAAAGGAAGGAAATACGAATGACGATGAAGGAGAGGGGAGACGTCGAAATCAAAAAGGAAGGAAATACGAATGACGATTAAGGAGGGGGGAGACGTCGAAATCAAAAAGGAAGGAAATACGAATGACGATTAAGGAGGGGGGAGACGTCGAAATCAAAAAGGAAGGAAATACGAATAACGATGAAGGAGAGGGGAGACGTCGAAATCAAAAAGGAAGGAAATACGAATAACGATGAAGGAGGGTGGTGACGTCGAAAGCAAAAAGGAAGGAAATACGAATAACGATGAAGGAGGGGGATGACGTCGAAAGCAAAAAGGAAGAAAATACGAATGACGATGAAGGAGGGGGGTGACGTCGAAAGCAAAAAGGAAGGAAATACGAATGACGATTAAGGAGAGGGGAGACGTCGAAATCAAAAAGGAAGGAAATACGAATGACGATTAAGGAGGGGGGAGACGTCGAAATCAAAAAGGAAGGAAATACGAATAAGGATGAAGGAGGGAGGGGGACCGTCGAAAGCAAAAACAAAAAACGTAACAAAGAAATGAAAGAACGAAAATAAACAGAAAAATTAAATCGAGAATTGCGAATGTTCTGAAATTATGCTGATTTTCCAGGTAGATCGACAGACATTCGGTTAAAAGATTATTGGTAAATAACTCATTTTATTTGGCATTCTGTATTTCGTTAGAAACAAAGAAAAAGAATTTTGAACCTATATGGCAGTGAATGTTGGACAATCTCCCCACTGAGGAAGAAAAGACTTGAAGCAAGAGAAATGTAGTTCTACAGAAGGATGCTGAGAATTCCATATACCGAACATGTGAGCAACAAAGAAATTTTAGAGAAAATAGAAATAAAATGGATACTTAAACTTAACGCCAAGGAGCGACAGTAGAAATTTCTAGGGCACATAATGAGGAAAGAGGGCTTGGAAATTCTGATACACACAAAGCATACTGCAGGCAAGAGCGACAGAGGAAAACAACGCATAGCATGTCCAGTAATCTTAGGTAAAAGGATAGCAGAACAAGTTTTCGGAGCGATAACAAAAGGAGAATTTATAAAAGACAGGAAATTATGTAGACCCATGATTGCCACCGTCCTGAATGCTCAGTGGCCATCTTTTGACATCTGTGTTTGTTTGTATGCAAACATGGAGTAACGAAAATTGTTTTCCATGCAAAGAGACCGATGTCGGTTTTAAATTAAAAGAGTTTCGAGGATATCCACGTAGAATACCGACCGTGAAAAACTTAAGAAAACTTGAAATTGTAATCCGGAAAGGCGTTGTCACAGGCTGAATTACTAATGAAATGTTGGTCAATCGATGCACCCAAAATCCTCGGCATACGAGTCAACGGTAAGTGGGTACCTCTCGGTGGTGTAATGGTTAGCAAGCTTGTCTCGCTCAGAACTATTACGACTGAATAGTGAGTTCGATCCTCACTGAGTGCCCCATATTTTCGGCCTTCTGCCACATCTGAGCTACGCTTGGAAAATCACTATTGGGCACCTCAACGTGGTGTAATGGTTAGAAAGCCTGTCTTGCTAGATCAATTACGACTGATTAGTGAGTTCGATCCTCACTGGGTGCCCCATCTAAGCCGGGCTTATAAAATCACTACAAGTCAACAGCTTTATCGAATAGTTGACGATTTTTACAGTAATGTTCAACATGTCTCCGCTGTTTCTGGATGAACCTTATTTTCGCAAGGCAATCGGTCAAATATAAAAAAAAACTCATTATCATGCTTATTTTAATCACCCTAAATTATTTTCTCCGTTGCCTCTTTCACTAGTCCAATGCCTACTTCGGATTTCGGTGTCATATTTTCCGTCCTCCGTTAAGACACTTCCTAGATAGTTAAATTTCTACATCGGTCTATATTTCTGAGATGAGTTATTGTAACTATTTACAGTGTTCAGACTCTTGTCTTCATCTTTACTGACACATTTACGGCGTTTCGGCCGCTGTACACTCCAGTCTTCTTCAGGATCTGCCTATATTTCTCAGATAAGGTATTATAACTATTTACACTATTTACATTATCCGGGCTGTTGTTCTCATCTTTATTGCTATATTCACGACGTTTCAGTCGTTGTACGCTCCAGCCTTCTTCAGTATTTGAAAATATTTCCGAAATAAGGTATTTTAACTATTTACCTTATTTACATTCTTCGGAATGTTGTCCTCATATTTATTACCACATTCAAGACGTTTCGGCCGTTTTACACTCCAGCCTACTTCAGGATCTGCTTATATTTCTGAGATAAGGTATTGTAACTATTTACACTACTCACGTTGTTCGGACAGTTGTCTTTATATTTGTTGCCACATTCATGACGTTTCGGCCGTTGTACGCTCCGGCTTTCTTCAGTATCTGAAAATATTTCTGAAATGAGGTATTGTAACTATTTACACTATTTACATTCTTTGGACAGTTGTCCTCATTTCTACTGTCATATTCACGACGTTCGGCTGTTGTACGCTCCGGCCTTATTCAGGTGATATTTGTCCCCAAAGACACGTGACAAAAGATGAGAACAATAGTCTGAACAATGTAAATAGGTGTAAATAGTTAGATTTATGGACTTGC